TATATATATAGCAAGCAAGAGTTTAGTATTGAATTGCACACATTTCTTTCTAGAAATAAATGTTTTATGATATCTGAACTCTCTTGACTATTTGTTTTTGGACAGGGTCTATGTTGCCCAGGTTGGTCTTGAACTCCTGGCCTCAAGTGATCTTCCTGCCTCAGCCTCATGCATGCTGGGACTGCAGGTACATGGCTCTTTGGCTCTCTTAATTGTGGGTAAAGAGTCAGATGCTATTTGAGAAGTTCATACTGTGACACCCCCCCACCCCCACCCCCAACCCCGTGGTAGAGTAAGAGCAACTAAGGTTTACTGGTGTTTAAATGACAGTGGGTAATCTTATAAATCTGATGACAGTTTGTCTTTACAGAATAAAAGGAAAGTTTTTGATGTTGTTACTGTTGTTTGTTTTTAAGACAGGGTCTCCCTGTAGCCCCAGCTGTTCTGGAACACACTATGTGGACCAGGCTGGCCTTGAATTCAGAGATATCTGCCTGCCTCTGGCTCCCGAGTGCTGGAATTAAAGGTGTGGGCCACTCTACCTGCCCAGCTAGGATTTTTATCCTTTCCTGCAAATAGTACTTGATTTTTTTATATACATAAAATGATTCAGACTCACTGCTAAAATACTGCACAACCTTATTTTTAAGTCAAAATACTGTTTTAACCATTCCCACTCTCCCTTACAGCAGAGTTATTTTAAAGCACTTTCCATATCTCTGCACTTCTGATGTCAAAATGAAACCAAATAATTCTTGAATTGTTCTTGAATCCAAAGTAGATAGTATCCCACTGGAAAGTAAATAAGTAGATAGCATACCACTGGAAAGTAAATCCATCCCTCTGACCTCAAAGCTGGGCCAGACCCTATTTCAAAGCATTTTCTTTCAACTGGTATAGTGTCCAGCTGATGTCACATAGGTGTCTCTGATCTTGATATATCACAAGACACATGTGATAGGACAGAGAAAGCATTCTAGGCTGAAGGTTTCAGATGAATTCTGGTCTTGGGTACCTTCAACATCTTTTTACTCACAGAGCCACAAGGTGAAAAGTCAAACGAGGAAGTACAGTTCTTGGAAAGGTCGGGTCTCATCTTCCAGCTGCACAGAGTACACTTTGGCTTTGCCTACCTGGTACTGAGCTACTTGAAGGAGAAGCGAATAACGGGGCTCCAAATTTTTCCCGCATGCTGTGGCCTTGTCTGTCATACAATTTCCCATCTGTAACTACAGATTCTGAATGACCAGTAATAACAATGAATGACTTTTCGGTTGTAATTTATTAAACTCTAATTAATCAAATAAAATAATTGCTGAACATAACCCCATGTCAAAATAAGTGTATTGCTATTTTTGCCTGTTAATTTACATATAATATCTACAAGAAAAACTAACTCAAAGCAACATTATGGTAGAATTATGTTGGTTGTTTCTCTGTAGAAATGCTTGTGATTTGCAGGGCTGGAGACATAGCTCAGCAGTTAAGAACATTGGTTGTTCTTATAGAAGACCTGGGTTCGAATCCCAGCACCCACATGGCAACTAACAACTGTCCATAACTCCAGTCCCAGGGGATCCAACAGCCTCTTCTGTCCTCCTCAGGCACTGCATGACATGGGTGCACTTACCTCCATGCAGGCAATACACACGTACACATAAAAAAAATAATAAAATATTTTTTTAAAAAAGAAATATTTGCAATTTCCTAATTTCTTTGAAATACTGGGAAATCACTGACATGGGCTTTTCTTACTATAGAAAAACATGAAAATGGGTAACTAGTAACTAGAACTAGGTACATGGAGACATCCATGCAGTGAAGATTTGATAACATGTCAGTGGAGCAAGTCAACTAAAAACATAATGCCAAGAATAAAAATGCAACTTTTTTTTTTTTTTTTGGTTTTTTTGAGAAAGGGGCTCCCTGTAGCTCCAGCTGTCCTGGAACTCACTATGTAGACCAGGCTGGCCTTGAACTCACAGAGATCCGCCTGTAAAAATGCAGCTTTTAAAAACTAGATTTGAGCGCTGGGTGTGGTGGCACATGCCTTTAAACCCAGCACTTGGGAGGCAGAGGCAGGCGGATCTCTGTGAGTACCCTGGGGTACTCTGCCTCACCCAAAGTTTAAACACTTCAAAGTGGCACCACATGCTGGTCGGTCCTCACCTATCAACTCCTCTAGGGAATCTGCATGCATTATTTCAGTTAATCACAGATGCTCATGTGTCAATTTCTTAAATTCTTGTTCTCTCTACTCAGTGCTCAAATCCTCCCCAAAGCAGTGGTCCAAATCACTCCTTGGACTCTGCTTCAAACGCTGGAGTAGCTGCCAGCCCACAGCCTTTGGTGGTCAGCCCCTGCAGGGATTGCTGAAGCTGCACACCCACTTACACCAAGAATATGTCTTTTTTCAGTAACTGGTGTGTGAGTATAAGGCCCAGACATTCCAGCTCAGGCTGGAATGACTCTAAAAGGTCATCCAATGCCAAAGTGTCCTGGGTTTTGGCTCTGTCATTGGTCCTGTATCACAGACTCCCCTGGCCTGTCCCCTCAGCTCAGTTCCCAAAGTTGTTCCCTAATGACTTCCTGGGACCTGGCCTCTACTTTAGATATCTCTCCTAGGATCTCAGACTGATAAGGCGTTACCACCTAAAAATACAGAATGTTAAGGTAAAATTTTAATTTCCTATCAATAAAAACAAATGTCTCAGAAATTCCATACAATATACTTATATTTAAAACTAAACTTTTCACTCGGGAGGCAGAAGCAGGCCAATCTCTGTGAGTTCAAGGCCAGCCTGGTCTACATAGTGAGTTCCAGGCCAACAGGGAGACCCTGTCTCAAAAAGAGGAAAAAAAAAAAAACCACAAAAACCTTACTTTTTATTTAAGTCAAATGTAACTGGGAATCCTGTATTTATATCTGCTAAAGCTGGCTAGCAGCCCTAGTAAGTTGTAGCCCAAGAAAGAAGCCACTAGAGAGGCTTGGTGCTGAGTCACTCTACCTGCAGTGAAAGCTCCAGGCTGCCCCTGGGACAATGAAGTGATCCCACTGTTAAAACCTGAACTGCTGGTAAGGTGGATCGCATGTCAGTGGAAACCAAGGCATCAGCTGGTATCGGACAGCAGTTTCAGAATCAGGGAAGAAACATGCACTCAGAGGATAATGAAATCAGGTAGGTACTGCTGCGTTTGAACAAAAGCTGAGCATGACTGACAGCCAGTAGAAAGCTAAGTCGGCAAGCCAAAAGACCCCAAACATCTCTAGCATACCAAGAAACTCTCATGTTCCACAAAAGGGTAGAAAGAGCTCAAGATCAAACCTGGCACTTGAATATCCAAGTTACTCAGTGCCAAAGGTCACACAACCAGCAAAGACCTGCTTTAATATGTAGTTAAAATCAGTTTGCAAGTATTTTGAGTTATGTTGCTTTCTGAGACCCGGACTAGCTTCAAATTTGCTGTGTGGCCAAGGCTGGGCTTGAATCCCTGATCCTCCTGCATCCACCTACCAAATGCTGAGATTATAGGTGTGCACCCCATGCTCAGCTCTTGGGAATTTTTATCTATGTTCTTCAGAGAAATTAGTCTATAGTTTTAGTTTTTTTCTTTGTGTGTATGGGGGAGGGGTGTTTTGTTTTGATACAGGGATTTGTTCTGAAGCACAGGCTGTCCTGGAAGCTGGCCTCAAACTAATAGCAATCCTCCTGCCACAGCATCCCAAGTGCTGGCATTACAGACATGAGCTACCACACCCAGCAGCTTTCTTTTTTGATCTATCTTTATCTGGTTTTGGTATCAGGATAATATTGGTTTTGTAGAGTGAGTTTGATAGCATTCCTCCCCTTTCTATTTTATAGTTTAAGGAAAATTAATGTTAATTTAAAGAAAGGTAGAATTTGGCAGCGAATCAGGCCAGTCCTGGTCTTTACTCGGTTGGGAGATGTTACTTCAATCTCATCGTTCTTTATAGATCTGCTTGTTTATATCTTCTTCATTTGAGTCGTGTGGGGGTGGGTGGGGGAGACTCTTATGTAACTGAGGATAACCTTGAACTTCTGATTTTCTTGCGTCCATCTCCCAAGTGCTAGGCTTACAGGCATCACCACATCCATTTTTACGTGCTGCTGGGCATCAAACCAGGGGTCTATGCATGCTAGGCAAGCACTCTTCCAACTGAGCTACATCCCAAAGCCCTCTTTCATCTAATTCAGGTAGGTTGCGTATGTCTAGGAATTTATCCACTTCTAGGTTTCCCAGGGTTGTTTTTGGAACATGTCTTCAAAGTATTCTTAAAGATTGTGATGGCAGGGGCTGGAGTAATGGCTCAGTGGTTAAGAGCACTGACTGCTTTTGCAGAGGACCCAGGTTCAAATCCCAGCACCCACATGATGGCCAACACTGCCTGTAACTCCAGTTCCAGGGGATCCGATGGCCTCTTCTGACCTCCACGGGCATTGCACAACACGGGTGTGCCTACCTACATGCAAGCAATACACTCATACACATCAAATAAAAATAAAATATTAAAAAAAAAGATTATGATGGCTAATCTTGGGTGTCAACCTGACACACCTTGGAATAAGGAACCTCAATTGAGTAATTTCCTCCATCCGACTGGCCTATAGGCATGTCTTGTGGGGTATTTTCTTGATTGTTAATTAAAATAGGAGGGCTCAGCCCATTGTGGGTAGCACCATCCCTAGGCAGAAGGGCCTGGGCTGTATAAGAAAGGGAGCTGAGCATGAGCCTGGGAGCAGGCCAGTCACCAGCATTCCTGTATGACCGCTGCTTCAAGCTTCCACTTTGAGATCCTGCCTTGGCTTCCATGGATAATGGACTATATGTAACTTGTAAGCCTAAATAAACCTTTTCCTCCTCAAGTTGGTTTTGGTCACTGTCTTATCATAGAACAGAAAGCAAACTAGAACAGAGATCCACTGCATTTCACT